GATCACACTAGAAAACTGCAAGTACTTTGGAATCCTAACAAAAATGTCACCTTATCAGAGTTATATTTTTAAAAATTCTGAAAGGAAAATAAATGACCATTTACAGCAGAGTTAAATCTCTCAACATAAACGTGTCTTCCTTAGGAAAGCCTTTCCTATTCTAATGTTTCTGCGCACACGTGCATCAGCGCTGCATACTGTTCTTTTATTACATAACACACAACTCGAATTAAACATTATAGATGGAAAGACGATCTTCTCCACTAGACTGTAAATATGTGTATAGGAACTGTGTTTGTCTTTTTCATCAAAGTATTTCTATAGCCTTGAACAATATTTAGCACACAGTCAATACTCTTCTGTTAAAAGAATAAATGAATGTCATCACAGTCTTGAGCATTTTAGATTTACAACTAGGCAGCTTTCTAATTAAAATTCATGTCCTTGGATAAAGACAACAAAACTGTAAAGATGATGTCTGCTTCATAAAAAATGTTTTCTTCACTGAAAGGTTATAAAAGAATACCTGTAGAGCAATGGCCAATCGAATGAGATCAATAACCACTTCTTCATTGGCCAGTTCAATAGTTATAAGAGCAAGAGAAGTATAAAGTAGCTCATAGTTTTTCTGAACATTGTCTTCCTCTTTACAGCCCAAATATATGTGCCGATATACCTGCTGCCCATTCTGAAAAGAAATGACACAGGAAGAAAATAATTTTGCTTAAAATGTAGTACAGGCAGATTTCACATGCATAAAACCTTCTACAAAGTAGCTATCTTATTACATAACTTGACATGAAAGTGAAATTTAAGCTGATAATCGGATGGTTAAAATACATTCCCATTATTATTAACAACGAATGTGCTAATATACAACCACAAACTAACGTTCTCATTGAAGAACAAACCTTAAATAAAAACAGCAAGTAAGAAACAGTTCCAGGGCAAACAATAAAAATGCTTTTGTAACAGGGTCAAGATGGTGGAACAGATGGTCCCCAGCATCACTCTCTCCCACAAATCAACCAATGTACAACTATAAAAATGTAATATCAGCCAAGCTGGGGCCGCTGGAGCTCAGAGGAAGAGGAGGAGAGACCTATAGTGTTCATGAAGGTGGGAGAAGCCACAACGAGAGAAAGAAAAAATTGCTTGGAGTGTTTTGGGCCATAGCCGCTTTAAGGCTGGAATTGCTGAGCGCATGGAGCAGGAGCAGAAGCTGGCAGGAGCTGCAGTTCTGCCCTTCAGATGGAGTTACTTGGAGGCGGCAGGGGAGAAAGGGCCTTGGTGGCCCCCAGGACAGCAAGACTACTAATAGGGTTCCCGTGGACCCACACAGGAGCAAGGAACCAGAACAGCTGAAAAAGGGGAGCCATTCAGAGGCTGGTGAGTCATCACAAGGGACTGGCACAGGGCCCACCCCATGGGAAGTGTTTGGAGCACAGGAGGTGGGGGAGACAGGCCCAACGGGAGAACAATGGGACACAGCAAGGACAGCCGATCAACCCCCCAATCAGCACAGGACCACGCAGAAGAGACTGGTCAGGAATATAGAATTGCATGGAGTGCAGATTGATGAAAAAACTCAGGCCCAGATCAGAGTTTCTACACAACCCACGTGCATCAGGTCTCTGGAGAGCCAGAAGTACCTATATGGTCAACCATTAAACCCTGAGCAGCACAAAAAGCCTTCCCTAGGGAAACAGCAGCAAAGCAGCAATTTAGCTCAACCACACAGCTCAAGTACTGGTTCCCTCAGGAAGTTCCTCTGTTTTAGAAGTAAGCAAAGGACAAAAATTAGTTCTGGCCCAGATACGCCACCATCACCTTGGGGCCCATCACGGGACATGAGGCATGGAACCAGGGACCGGACACCCCTCCCACAACCAGGTACACCGCCAGCGCCAAGGAGCATGCCAAAAACATCATCTCCATGTGACTTTCCCATCTAAAGCATTCCTGTGTATAAGAACAACCGTCACGTGAGAGCTACCAGAAATAGAATTTCCTATTCCCAATCACTAAGTAATAATTAATTCAACTTGGTGTGTTAGTTCTCAACCCCAACTGTAAGCTAGAATCACTGGGAAACTGGAATAATCACCATGTTCCTGCCCTCCCCACTTCTAACTACTGTCCACTCTCCCCCAATATGATTTAACTAGTCAGCAATGAATGAAGCCCAAACATCAGTGTTTTCAAACCAAAAGCTCCCCCAAGTGCTTGCAATGTGCACCCAGGGTTAAGAACTGTAGGGGCCCACTCATTCCCATGTGAAGGGATTCTAGCTTAACATGTCAGGCCTGTTTCTCAGCAGGTTAATCCAATTGATCAATTTATGAGAAGAAACTGGGCAGTAACAGCACAGATGCTTCTGAAGCTAGTTGTCTGTCTGTAATAAGCATGAATTCTGCTCTGTTCTCTATTTAACATGCACTAATGTCCCATCCTGGTAAAGAGGGCTGTCATTCTCCAGCTATGACAGTGACTGACTGGTTAAGTCTAAGTCTGTGTTATAGTTTAGCAAGCCTTTTATTTAGCTACAGAAATGAAGCCATGCTCTCCTATAAGAATCCTGTGTTTCTGAAACTGATACTTAGGTTTCCACCTTTCTGAATCCAGATTTGTCTTTCTCTCAAATGGTTTCTATACTTGGGTGGGAAACAAGGATCTTATGTACCGCGCCCTCTGACAATCTAGGAATACTCTTGAATACCATGGCTTGTAAACTTCATTAACAAATATTAAAGCAATGCTTACATACGTGGGAGTTTAGCCTTTAGTTTCTTTAAGTAATTCGTTTATTTTTGAAGATTACCTACTATATATCCACTGTATTAGATAAAATTAAAATCTGGCAACATAGGTGTAATGACTTCACAAAGTGGCTTGCCATTATCTAGTAAATTTGAAGAATGCATATGGCAAAAAAGAACATGGATGATTTAGGTCTCTGTACTTTTTATCTTCCTATGAGGCTCTGTGTCTATTGTTTCCTGCATGTCTACAATCAGGGCTCCCTTAGCGACCAAGACCGCATGCATCTTCAGGGCAGTTTCCATGTGTGTCATGGTTATTGTATCTCTCAATGTCAAGCTCAGTGTCTGGCAATTATTAGGTACTCAAGGTTTGGATGAATAATAACTGAAAAGAAAGTTTATTCAACATGCTAAATAACCTCAGATACCGTAATTTTCTAATTTCAGCCATTTGCCATTAGACCTACAGGATTTAAATGATCATCATAAAAACCTAGCTAGAAACTGCTTATTAAGAGCAGAGATCTTGCCTAACTCATCTTTATATCTCCAATAGTGTACAGAAAGAACAATGCCTAATATATAAGAAACAGTTATTTATTCAATGGTGACAGCTATTTTCAAAGACTTGAAGCTGTCTATAAAAAGAACCACTAAAAGCAGAATCAGTATGTGTTTGGGGAAGGGGAAGAGGGCAGGGCCAGGAGTAAAGAAGACGATCTTACCTTTTTCATGAAACTTGTGTCTTGTCTACAAATTTTTTCTCTTTTTATCTTTAGGTCTGCTACATCTGGTATTATTCTAGAGACAATCAATATACCATTTTTAATGAATAGCACATTTAGTTTCATGTCTTACATGGGAACATAATTAGGAGTTTGAACTATTAAACACTCATTTCAATGAGCATTTTAAATATGCTTATACATAATGATACTACTAAAATGCCAAGTTTAATTAAGGGGAACTGCATAAAGTAATCTTAACTCCTCATGCCATTTCTAAGTTAAAGCAAAACTAAAACAAAACCAAAATAAAATCCATGTAAGTAGTGATTACTAGTAGATGAGATTTACTGTAGAGGAGATTAAACGTCCTCTGAACATTTGCTATCTTAAAAAATATTAATAATTAAATTGTCCAGACACCAATTAAACTCTAGATTAATAAAACCTGAAAATCATAGATATAAAAAATCGTAATATTTAAATACACCACTTTAGAAATTTAAAAACATCATCATTAAGCCCATTTCAAAATGGCATAGTACCTGATCCCTCGAAGCTTTGCCCTATTGTCATGGCGATCCATGAGATTATGCATTACTTCCAAGACTAACTGTCTCAACTCATAGTCTTCCATGAGAGATGGTGATAACAAAGGATCCAGAAAAGATCCTGGCAGTGCAGTAACAATTGTCTTTGCTTTGTATCCAGAGGTTACCTGATTACAGGGAAGAAAACAACCAACCTTTGTCATGAGTCCTTCTTTGGTAAAATTCTCATATTATTTTATAAGAACCATAAACTTAGGAAAACAAAAAATGTGGATGTAGCCTGAAGGAAAGACATAAAGGAAGTGTGTAATGTAAACTTTTGTAAGAAAATATAAACAAATGTCTTTATATCATCAGAGTAGGCAAAAAGCTCTTAAACAAGACACAAATAAAAAACTGTAAAACATATAGGGAAGGACTGATAAATCTGGATATATTAGAATTTAAAACTTCTGTATGACAAGCACCATAAATTAAAAATGAAGTTACAGAAAATATTTCTGTACTTATCCTTAGGTATGAGATATTTCCTTTAAAAAAATGGGATCATGTTTAATAAAAATTTCCAGGATAACTTTGAAAGATATTGATTTGGAAAGAACACACATTCCAAACAAACAGCCCCTAGTTTGTTCTTGGCATTATGCGAGGAGTATGTGAATCAAAAATAAATACAATTAGTATAAAATAAGCAGAGGACATCTCACTTTGGGTATCCTTTTCCTTCTCAGCTATTTACAGCCACTCCGAATTTAAAAATGACAAATTTTCATTTTTATGATTTATTTTCCCAACAAGAAGCCATTTTATGGTCAGTATGTGAAGAAATAGCACATTATATAGAAACAACTTTAGATTTCAAGTCCAGGTTCTATTCTTTAGCTCAGAGATCTTGGTGAACCTCTTCAACTCATTCTACTCCAAGTCTCTGAACCTAGGTGTATTTATCTATAAAATGGCAACAGTTTTTGCCCTGTGTGTATTTCATTATGAAGATCAAACAAAATGATGAGAAGTGACGAATAAAAAGTAAAAAGGATATTATAATAAAAAGAGAGAACATAATACCTAAATACACAAACCACAGCAACAACCAGTCACAAATAGTAATCTCACTAAATAAGGAAAGGAAGCTGATGTGAAGCTATTCCTTTAACCTTTTCAGTAATTAAGGTTAAGTGTGTCCTTCACCTGTCTTAAATGCCTTACCATAAGTAAAGATCGCAGCAACATTATCTGAATCCGCCTGGTTCCCAAATCCCTAAAATATACAAAATGCTGGTATTATTAATACTAAGTAACATCTCATATTACTTCATTTACTTCTATTACTATCTCCTGATTTTAGAACTCCATTCTTATTGACTAAATTGACTTCTATAATAGCTGAAGTCATGGCTCATTTTATACTCTAAAGTAAAATTTCATATGAAATAAAACATATGTTACATGTTAAAAATTAAAATATGTTACATGTTAACATACTTACATGTTAAAAAAGTCAAATTTAAACAAGAAAAAATTCAAGTTATTGGCTTTTCAAAGGAAATAGACCTATGCATGTGAAGACATAAAAATTAAATCATACAAATACACAATTAAACAACCCAAATTAAAAGACACTATAAATTGGAAAAAATATTTACTGCAAATATAGTTAATGAATATCTCTTTAACATATACCAATTAACAAGTAAGAACAAACAATGAAAAAAAATTAACAAATAGAAAAAGGGCTATTTAATTCATGGTTAAAGGAATGTAAGCCAAATAAGACACTATCATCCCCTTATTAATAAATTAACAGAAACTAAAGCTTTAGCATGTTATCAAATCAAATCAAATCTATAAAATAAGTGGCCAGAACAGATGATCTTTAAAATCACTTTTAATTCTAGAATTCCAGGAATAAGCAAACATTCCTAACACACCGACATTAATTTTTAAAATTTTTCAGAAAATCTGAAGCTTTACCCTAAATATGTATGCATATACACAATGCCCAGGATAACCAAACCTTCCACCTGGTCATAACAAGACATAGACAATTTGAGAATTTATGATAAGCTGAAAATGATTCTAGAGGCATGCAAATTTTGATTCAATTGCTTAGTGACCTAGTGCCATGAAAACACTAACTGCTTTCCAAGGACAGTTATTACTACTGATTAGAAAAAACAAAACAAAACAAAATAACTAACATAATCTAGATTTCTTTAAAATGAAATTTAACCCAATATTAAGTTCAAATTTATCATCTGAGAACATACCCTAGTTGACTGATATCCAAAGTATGGGTAGTTGTTCCAAAAACAGGTACTTTCCCCATAATAAACATCATGATTTCTGACCTTTGATAATCTGGTAGGTTACTTCCAAAAAATCCTACAGAAATATTAAGATAAATTTTATAAACTGAAAAAGTTTATTTTTCCATATAATACAAAATGATAATATATTTTTAACCAAAGCCTTCAACACAGTAAAACAATAACTGCCTTTAAGCTACATATAATACTGAAGGTATAATTTCATTTGTACAAAATCCCTTAATCATGTACAATATAAGATGTGTATAATAGACTAATATTTACATAAAATAATAAATATCTGAAAGTCTTTTGCATGTAGTTAACAGTGGCAAACCATTATCAAGTTGAGTTCATTGGAGTTTTAGAAAAAGAAAAAAACTTTTGGAAGTATTTCTGATGAAACTCTTGTTCATATATTGTGTGAGCCCAAATTCTTGTTCAGGTAAGAATGTCAGTAAATAGGCCATACTTCTTCTGGAAAAAAGTCAATAATTAGGTTACTACTCTGACATCCCAGGACTGCCCAAATGTTTTAGAATGTCATAATAATAAGCCAGGTTTACAGCTTAACTGTGTGAGTTAAATCAACATACATAATTCAACTGATGTAAAAATAAAAAAATAACAGATAAATAAATAACATTTTTTGGTCATATTTTCATGCACTCTTGAGTTTTGAGGATATTTTAAATTTATCTGCTGTAGTTTTTGATGGTCTACTTCTTGGTCATAAAATATTTACAATCTTGAATTATTACTTACTCCCACTTTAAACTTTTCTTTGAAAGATGAGAACAGATATCAAATCGTGGCTGCTTTTGTTTCTGTCTCAAAATTCAATATAACCAAAGCATAAACCTGCATTTTTAATATTTCTTTAAAAATAAATTGTTTTTTCAATTTATCTCTTCAGCTTCTATTATTGGAGTTAATAATCTATACAAACTCAAACCATTCCATTCAATATTTTGATTGTACCTGAGGGTAAAAGTCATTTCCCCAAATCACATACTTTAACAATCAAAACCTTATGATCTTAACATTACTTCATCTGCATAAAGTATATTATTCTAGCTAACTTATGGAATACATATTTATGGGGTGAGAAACTACTTTGTATTTGGATCCTCAGAATACCAGCATGAGCCAAGGCACTATTACTTGTCTCAGTTTCCTCTTGTGGAAATGAGGATAAGAGAGGTTAGGAACCCATACAAGAAATTACAGCTAATATTAAGATACAAGGTAAGAGGTATTTATTTCCAAAACTGATGCTTTTATTACTCTATACAACCTCCATGTAAGCTACTTTTTAATTTTCCAAGCACCCAATTAGATACATTCCTAATCACTGCACAAAACTGAATGCCAACTTATTACAAAAGGAGACAAGACAGCATGCACCTCTGTTTACCAAGCACCTAACACAAGACTGACCAACCACAGTGCTGCTAAAAGCTTAAAGAGTTAACAAATACCATCATACCTTCCTGTATTCAACAACACTTCTATCATTAATTTATGGTCATATCTTATGCTTTTCAAAAGTGCTGAATAGTTTCCTCTAATGCCGTAATTCCCAAACTTCACTACATATTAGAAGATCCTGGGAGCTTTAAAAATGCTTAGGTTCATGCTGTACACCAAACTAATTAAGTCAGAATATCTGGGGGTAGGAGTTGAGACAACAGTATTTTTATAAGATCCTAAGGTAATTTCAATGCTCAGCGAAATTTAAGAACCACTGCCCTAAGGAAAAACTCTTTTTCTCTCCTGAGTACATGGTCAACTGAGTTCAGCATATTTATAGTTAAATATATGAGACTGTTAAAAAAACTGAAAATAATCACAGTAGGAAAGAAATGCAACTAATTTATGCTTTACAATTTCTTTCATTTTTTTAAAACTTAAAATTGAGCAAGAGTCTTCAACATGATAAACTCTAAAGATAGAGTCTTCAAAAGCATCTCATTCTCTATACTCTGTATTTGGACTATGAACAAAAATGCAAATGGGCCCCCCAAAAAGAACACAGCAGGGAGCCTGTGTTTTTAATTATTTTAAAAGAAAGAAGAACTTGGCCAACAGCCTCAAAAGTTAAAGTACAAAAGTACAGCAGCCCTGTTCCATGGCCCACCAACAGGCATGTCCACATGAGCTGATAACTACCAGTACAGTCAGAAGTTCTACAACAGCCTCAAAAGTTAAAGTACAAAAGTACAGCAGCCCTGTTCCATGGCCCACCAACAGGAATGTCCACATGAGCTGATAACTACCAGTACAGTCAGAAGTTCTAAAAAAAAAACTAAGGAAATCAGAAATGTAATTTTGAAAAGAAATCTTATCACTGTGCCACACTGCATTTCTGTTCTCTCATGGTTTAATTCTCACATGTTACTTTGAATGTGTTATAGCACAGAAACATTGCTTGAGTCTGCTATATACACATTTTATAATAAAATACTTGAGAAAAAATAAATTAAATGCTCTAGAGAGAAACAGTAACACTGAATTAATTAGTAATCACTAAAACAATTTAAATTAATTCTGTGAAAACAAGATTAACTGATTTGATATATCATCCTAGAATATCACACAAAATCCATAAATAATCCAAATAAATGAGAGTCATCACTGAAGCTAGGTTCACTATACACTGCTCATTTCTTTTAGCAATAACTAAAATTAGGCATTAAGCCCTAGGAATATAATCCAGTTTTGAAATTATCATAGCAATCATGTAGTTACATTACAATATAACCTGGCTATTTTAAAGAAAATATTGAGAGGGGAGGGTTAAAGTAGAAAAACAGCTTGCTTGTTTTAATTTGTATTTATATACAGTTGGATTATTTCATTCCCCAAAAGAAAAAAAAATTCTCATAGCTTTTATTAAAAGGAAGCTCTTCATCCTTGGAAGAAGGGAGGAAGGAGGGGGGAGGAGGGAGAGAGGAGGAAGGGAGAAGACGGGAGGGAAAGGGAAAGGAAAGGAAAAGAGAGAATATGATATTAAAGCCCAAGAAATCAGCATCCAGGATCTGATCTCTAATACTATTTCCCCACTAAAAAGAACCACACAGCTCCTTGGAGAAATGACTGATCCAGGACTGGGACAAAAAGCTTAAAGTTAGCCCGGAACAGCTTACCCAAGGTAAGGCAGTGCTCAAAAAAAAAAATGGACAGATGCTACAAAAACATAAAAGGCAGATTGAAGGGGCTCCCACTGGCCAAATTTGGGCCATATGAGCACCAAAATAATTAAGACCAGTAACAAAGTATAAATCACAAAAATATAAACCTGTGAGTTTATACCAACAACAAACAGATAACTATACACATTCCTGTGTACACAGAAAGGTAGAAAAAGGGGCTCTTGCTTGTAAGAAAACACTGAGTGCCAACTGGTAGGAGGAAATATTGGAGTTTAAAAACCATCAGTTTGCAGCCATCATGGTAAAGACTGGTTCAGGCAAGAATTATGAACGGATGCTAAATCTAGAGGGAGGTTTGGACGAAGAGCAGGATAGCTGCATGGTCTAACAGTATCTTCTCAGAAACTGCTTATTATTCACAATAGAAAAAACTAAAAATGTACAGTGGAGAAACAGGACACTGTCTTGACTGAATGAATAAAATTAACATCACCAGTGAGGGGCAAATGTACATTGAGTACCTCTGGGAGTGCTACGCTGAGAAGAACATATCACGTATGTAGTATTCCACCCAGAAATGCATCACTAACTTAAATCATGAAGAAACACCAGATAAAACCAAATGAGAAACTTTTTGTTTAATAAAAAAAAAAGGGGGTAGGACTTTACTCTTGAGAAATGCCCTCCAGACTAACAGAACTAGAGAAATATTACAACTAAATGCAGTATATGATCCTAGACTGGACCCTCAACCCAAGGGGGAAAAATGCTATAAAGGACACTATTGGATCAATTGACAAAACTGAAATATGAAATGTTAAAGTATTAACTCTACCCTGGTTATGTAAGAAAATATCTTTATTCTTTGGAAAAACACACCACGGTATTTTGCGGTAAAGGGCCATTATGTATGCAACTTACTATATATCCAGTGCAATAGGAAAAAATATACATGTATGTGTGTGTGTGTGTGTGTGTGTGTGTATTTTCCTCCCCATATACATACACATACATACAGAGAGAGAGAGAGAGAGAGAGAGAGAGAGACAGGAGAGAGATGGGGGGAGGGGTCAGGGGTTAACAAATAAAAAAGTAACTGGCATAAAATGTTAACGAATGAATCTGGGTAAAAGGTATACAATATTGTTTGCTTATGCTTATTTTCCAAATATAAAGTTTTTATAAAAGCTATCATTCACCTTTGACAAATGTACTATCAATGTACTATAAATGTATCTTATATGAGAGCTTTTTAATAACTGTTTTACATGACAGTTTTGAAAAGTGAAATGCACTCACCTATTGTTTGGATGATAGCATTCTGCACAATCTTCTCATCACTGTCTTTAGAACTTGTGTTTAAGTTGGCACTACCTATAGATCCCCCCTGTAAATCATTTGCTTCAAATTCCACACTGAGACGCAAATGCTTCAGAAGTGTATTGAAGACTTCCAGCACTGTGGGTCCTGTAAAGGATCATTTATGTGAAAAGATGCACTTTTCCAATATATTCTCCTGTGTCTCAAGAGAGATTTTTTTAGTCAGTTTCTAAATAGTCAAAAATGCATAATAATTTATGTTACCCAGTTTATTTGTTTAAAAAAGTAAATAAGAAATATCTAAATGAGAGTCTTCTGTTATACCAACAAACGTATACTTGGCACCTATGAGCAACTCACTGTTTGAATCTCTGGTATGACCCTCACAAAACGCATATATACATATAAGGATTACCAAAAACTTTCTATTTAATCTTGTCTATTTAAAATAATGTGTACTAGGACAACATTTAACTTGACTATTTGGTCACAATCCATAAAATTACAATAACATAGCTCACTGTAGCACAGATTTATTTTGCATCTTTTGAGAATTAGGAAGGATGAATTCGCTTCAATTATGAAATAGAAATTACCCAGTTTATCAGATTCAGGTAAATTGAATTTGCTCTGTTTTTCATTCTCTGCACATGTTTCTCTCACTGCAACAATCACACTATATTTTAATTAGTGGGTTTTATTTCTGCCTCCTACTGTCAATTACAAGCTTCTCCACAACAGATAACCATGTACGAATGCTTCTTTGAATGTACAGAGCCTAGGACATAGTAGGTAACATAAAGTAAGTGTGATGACTCAATGCATCATCTGTGTTTCATTTCATATTTCAAATTAAATAACTTGCCAACTAAATAATGTGCTTTCATCTTCTTGAGATAAGTTATAAGATAAATAATGGAATATCCATATCCAAAATGCCCATCCTTATTTGACAGTGAAATATTAGAATATTTCATTAGCGAATATATTTCCACTTTGATCTCGAAACAAAAAGACCATAATCTGCTAACTTCCATATTTCTATTATAGACCCTTCTAATTTTCTAATCACATGTAGGTGAAATATCAAGAGCTTTGACCTGTCCCTTCTCCTCGTTACCCTTCCAATCAGTCAGTTATCAAATCCTACTGACTTTATATTATCATTCCTACTGTTGCTATCCAAGGACAAGTTCTTTCCCTCATGCCTACAACAATGACAATGACCTGTTATTTTTAATGTGCCCTATGTTTTGCTGCCAGATGAATGATTCTATTGGAATCTCTGATAAAGATTACAGTAAATCTTTAAAGACTGTCAGTTAACTCTAGAACTACATCCTCCATCTGGCTGCAACTTAATTTAAAGCCACTTCTCTGACTTCTTCCAAAAGAAGATTACACATTCTAGGCAAAATGGGCCACATAATATTTTGCTTATGCTAATCCATTTCCCTCCCTTCTCTGAACCTTATAATCTGTGATCAAAGCCTGCCTTGTATTACAGTATGAGGTGGAGCTGTCTAACCACAAGTAACCTATCAGTTTCATGTACCTGTATTCTCCCAATGTTCAGTACTTAACTGATACTCAAATGCCTTTATTAGAAGAAAGGAGGAAGAGAATAAGAAATTGATTTGGAGGAAAATTCTTATTGGTGCACTAAAGAAGCCTGAAGATAATCACATGAACCCAAAATTTCAACAGAAATTACAGCACACTTAAAAATGTATAGAAGTATTCTCAGAGTTTTTCATGCACTGCTATACCTACTGAAAAAACACTTTAAAACAGATAACTGCATTATTTATTTTTTATTAGCACTCACCTATGGAACCTTTAGCAGCAATAGCAACAGCCTCTAACAGAACCTGAATAATACCTGCTCGAACCCGTGGAGAATCTTTTTTACATGCATCAAGGTGTCCTAGAATCTCCTGGATCACATGATGAGAATACTGCGCCTAAAGGAAATAACATAGTACAAAGATGTATGAATAAACACATGTATCCTAAAAGAATACATAAGAATAAAAAACCATGTGACACCTAAATGTCCAATTACAGGGGACCTGTGATCATGCTATGAGATAATACATAGCCATTAAAAACTATTCCTTTGAAGAATAAATAGGGAAACTGGAAAATATTTGTGATAACTTTAATGAAAAAAGCAAGCTGCAAAATACTATGTTCAATAAAATTCAATCTGGTTTTTAAAAAGTAAGGAAGACTAGAATTACATATAATAAATATTAACACTGACCACCGAGAGAGGAATTTATGAGAAATTTTTATTCTCTTTATACTTCTCTGTAATTTCACAAAAATCATTTATATAGTCTTATAATCTGATAATAAGACAAGGTTGGGGGGGGGGGCAAATTGACATTTACACTACTTCTCCCTTACCCAAACTAGATAAATACCACTCATATGGACATCTAACAATGTTAAACAGGCAAAACCCTCATCTAATAAAGAGTCAAATGAAAGTCTTATCAATGTATTACCCAACAAAATTTAAATCAAGAAGATATCAGAAGATTCACAATTTACAAAGGCAATTTTATCACATATAAATGAATTTGGTCAATTACAATGAATACTATTGAGACCTAAAACAAAAAAGCATAGCCAGAAAAATGTTTAATTCCAGTGAATAGATTTTTTTTTTTTAACCGAGTAGCAAAGTTTTTTTTTTTTTTTTTTTTTAAACCTACACCTACACATGAGTCATAAGCGGGTCCACTGCCCTGCACCAAGTTGTAAAGAGAAAGTGCCTTGGCCCTGAATCTCTCTGTCTGTGTTTGCCTTCAGATAGGTGCCCCCAGTCCTGTTTTCAGGCTGGTTGCCTGTCTCTCCTTTGGAATGGGTGGTTTTATAATAAGAAGCAGTGTCCTATAATGGCTACTCTGCTCAAAAGCAAAAAAAAAACCCCTCCATCTCTATCAATATAGCAGATTTCATTTCCAGGTATTTCTGGCATTTCTGTCATAACACATTTACTTTTATAACAACCCAAGGTAAAAAATAAATTTGCATTTCATTTTTCTTTACTTCATTTAAAACTATGTTAAAATAAAAGAACATCAGACAGACAGGCAGACACACAATCTGAAACTGAACTTCCTACCCAGGAAGCAGCATGCTTTTGATGTGTGAACCTTATGCAAACAGAGTGCCTTATAAATAAAGCAGCCATTTGATTTATTGTCCAAACCAGGACACTTCAGAGAATGAATGAGGACACTGCTAATAATTACATAGAGTTATCCTATGCAAACCGAGGCATATGTTCATTCTACTTATAAGAAACAACTCAAGAATAAAGTCAAGTATTAAAAAAGAGAACACTGAGTGAAAGGAATGAAACTGCAAAGATGTTTAAGTCAGGCTTATTAAGGTTTTATTTACTTATGGTAAAATTCACCTGTAAGCTTCAGTGTAAGCTGAAGTTTAAGGCAGTATCATATCAGTGGATGAATAGCTTTAAGAAGCAATATAGGGGCTAGCTCATTAGGTCAGTTGGTTAGAGCACAGTACTAAAAACACCTAGGTCCAGGGTTTGATCTCTATACCAGTCAGTGACCAAAAACAAAGGGGGCGGGGGGGGGGGGCAGCAACATAATACAATAGTGGTGAAGTACATAAGCCCTGGAGTCAAATTTGCCCACATTCAAACTCTGG